TTTCCACCTTTATCTTTCCTAATACCTCCGTTCCTTGCTACCTAGTCACTGTCGTTCCCCAACTAACTTTATATTCCCACGCAGAGATTTTCCACCTTTTCCATCCACCCCCAAGACAGTGTCAAGCCGTCTTTCTCCCAGTCCTAGTGGGAATGTCCTTAACAACATCAATTGTTGCAACCGGCCTGTTGGGCGGGGCCTTAGGACATACTCTATGGGCGGTACAAGACATTAATAACAAACTACAAAAGGCCCTCACCTCCACAGCTGAATCTCTATGTGCCTTACAAAGACAAATCACCTCCCTATCTAAAGATACCCTACAAAACCGCTGCGCATTAGACCTCCTCACAGCAGAAAAGGGCGGCAGTTGCATCTTCCTCTGGGAAGAATGGTGCTATTATATCAATGAATCCGGACTAGCAGAAACCAATATTGTCAAACTCACCAACCTAGCCTCAGACCTCAGAGCCAACTGCCCTGATCCTTTCTCCTCTTTTTTCCAAGGCTCACTTCTCACCTGGATATGGCCAATATTAGGACCCCTCGCTGTTATATTTATAGCCTGTCTTTTCTGCCCTGCATTATAAAATGCATTCGAACTCAACTTGGAAAAATCTCCACCAAACCTTTAACCAGCTTTTACTTAGGAACTACCAGCTCCTGGCCACCAAGGATCCTACCCGCCCTTCACCAGAGCAGCTAACCTGCTGTTAAAATGGACCTGCCTCATCGATGGTCCCTGTTCCTGGAAGCTTTGGCCATGGATGCCTGGATGCTCTCCCCTACAGCCTCCTACACACTGGACTCAACAAATCACTGACCTGTGGCTTCAGGGAACCTTTCCAGAGTTCTCCTCCTTCAAAATTATCTTATTCTCTACCCTCTTTTGGGTCTGTTACAAAATCCCCAATCTCCTCCCAATTCCTCTTCACGTACTACACCCCCATCCAGCAGGAAGTAGCTCAAAGATTACGATGACCCATTCCCACAGCAGAGGAAAAGGGAGGAATGTAAGGACACCGTGGGCACTCAAGCGGAGGGGGAGGGGGAAAGCATTCCCTAGCAATATGGCGCCCTTCCGGGCTCTTCTCCGCAGTAGAAGGCTGCCGGCGCCAGACCTCAACCACTCACAGGTCAAGGTTCACCTCCTGCCCAGCCCCGTCCAATCAGGTACTGCCCCATCCACCCCCTTTCAAAACCCGGAATGCAGCTCCCTATGAATATATGCGCAGTCCTTGAATAAAGTGGAACTTCTCTGGCAAACTGTCAGTTCGGGTCCTGTCATCTTATCAGCTCGGGACCGTGCACCCTTTTGCTCGGGACCCAGGTCCCCTCTGACCTTGAGCCCCCTCCCTTCAGGACCTAGGGCCCCTGTGACCTTGAGCCACCTCCCCTCAGTACCCAAGTCCCCTCTGACCTTAAGCTCCCTCTCCTCATGACCCACGGCCCCTGTAAGATTGTGTCCCCTTCCCTCACGACCCAGGGCCCCCTCTGACCTTAAGCCTACTCGCTCCAGACCCCAAGCTCCTCTGGCCATGAGCCCCCTCCCTTAGAACCCTATGACCCTCTGACCTTGGGCCCATGCCCCTCAGTACCCAAGACCCCTCATGACTTTGGAACCCCTCCCCTCAGGACCCAGGGCCCTTTGACCTTTGGCCCTATACCCTCTGGACCCAGGGCCCTCTGTGACTTGTGGCCCCCTCCATTCAGGACCAAGTCCCCTCTGACCTTGGGCCCCCTCCCCTCAGACCCAAGGTCCTTTGTGGCCTTGAGCCCCACTGCTAGGTTTCTCAAGGCCCCTATCTCAAGGCCCCACTTAGACCTGAGACACATCCCCTCGGAGATTCCAATACCATCACACTTTTAGCCCCCACCCCTCGAAGATTCTAAAGCCCCCATGACACTTTGAGTCCCTGTTCCTTGGTTATCCCAATACCCCCCTTTGACTGAGACCTCTTACTTGGGAGAGCCCATCGACGCCCCTTCAAACTCAACTCCTGTCAGGGGACCCAGGACCCCCTGATCCTAGAGCCCCTTCTGTCAGAAACTGTTGACCCAGCCGGTGGTGAAGAAATTCTCTGCAAACACTGTTGCGCATCCTCTGAAGGCGAGGACCAGACAAGTTTCCAAGGTCTCTGTTTGCTGATGCTGAGTGGACACACTCCAGCCCACTCTTCTTGCCTGACACTTTAGAATTTGGAGGTTCCATGCTTTACGACAGACACCCAGTTCCCACCTCCCACCTATGTGGCCCCAGCTTTGTCTCCAGCACCTGTCTACTGCAAAATCCTAAATCTCTAGCAACATATGCTTCAGGAAATTGTACTGTTTCTCTGTACTTTGTAGTTTGATTCTGCTAGTTTTCATTCTAGCTCTTAGGTATTTTCCCATCAGCCTAAAGATCTCAGCCAGAAATCAATGAAAACATTGGATGGGCATTTACCTGCACCATATCTGGGCATTTACAGTGGGAGAGAGCTCAGAATGTCCAGTTGCCCTATTGGAGGGAGGGGGCCTCAGTGCCTTTACTCTGGGCCACTGCTGCCCCTGAGCACCACTGTGGGAACAAGTGTTGTGTGAGTGAAGCAGTGAATTCAGGGACAGCAGGCAGGGTGGAGGGGGAGAGGAGACCTGGGCTGAAGGGCTCTGGGAGTGGAGTAGGTGGGGATCCATGTGGGGAGACAGACTGGCCGGGTGAATCAGGTGCCCCTCCTAGGTGTGGCTGCTGACCACCTCAGCCCTGGTCTCATAGGACCCAGTGGTACCAACCTGTCTGCCTTCCTAAATTGGAAGACCTTTGTTGCAAGCACTTTGACTCCCAGCTTTCCCAAGGGAACTGGACTTAGGACAGCATGTTGGGGAGTGGGGGGCAGGATCCTGGTAGTCCCCATCTCTGGGTCGTGTCTTCTTTCTGCACAGTGTGCTACTGGACCTGAACCCCTCTGCTGCTCTTGTGGGGGGTGCAAGTCAGGTGCTGCTACTACCTGGGTGACACTTCGGTGTGATGCACAGCCAGCAGATGAGGCAGCTGAGGGTGAGGGTCAGCAGCTCTGCTAAGGGAGGCACACCACTTAACCCCGAGGACTGCTCCTGCCCCTGAGTGGGGAGTTGGAGCTTCCCTCATAAGTAGGGATACTCGTGGTGGGGGGCAAGGAACGGGGAGACTGTGTCAGAAAGCACCCAATGCATTTGGAGTAGTAGAGGGTGCAGATGGGTGTCCCAAGAAAATGTCTCAGGTGAGGGCAACTGCCTGGTGCCTTAGGGGTATTCCCTGGCCCATGGTGCTAGCATCAGAACTCAGCTTCAGGATGTCCCCGGACTCTCCCCTTGTCAGTCATTTATTGATGGCTCTGTGATGCCCAGGTCCGGGGAAGACTTGATTCCAGGAGAAGTCATTTTTCCTCATGGAAACGGCCCTCAAATTTTGCTGCTGATTCACCTTGCCTCTTGTTTTTTCGAGTTGCCTGTAAGAGGGAAAATACTTCAGTGGGTAATATCCAACAGGTTTTGCACGTTGCTTTTGAGGTCTGGAGTCAACCAGTAGACACAGAGGAGTGAGCTGCCAGATGAAGCAGCCCCAGGCCCTTCCTGACTCGAGAAGTGATGGTGAGTTTGTCTGAGATGAAGGCATGAGCATGGAAGAGCCTAGTGTGTGGAAAGAGCTCCCAGACCCCGGTCCCTGACCCCAGGAGCTGCTAGCACAGTAAGGGAGCAGCATTCAGGTGGGCAAGGTAGGGGAGACGCACGTAGTTGATGTTTAGGAACATGAAGGTGGTGCAAGGAGCCGTGTCCTCCTCATGTGCCAGGAGTTTACAGCTCCACCTGTTGCTGTCATGGCTTCCCTGGTTGGTATCAAAACAAAAGGCATAGAGATAAGAGAAAAGAAGCCTAAATATATCAAGAAGAACCACTTCGTGTTTCTTTTTTATTGTGTGTTTTTGTTATTTAATTAGATATTTGATGCAAGATTGGTTTTGAATACCCAAACATATATGATGTATTTTATTGTTGAGTCAGTGCTAGAAAAATGTTGGGGAAAATAGTGAAAGAAAAGTATGCTGTATGTTATATACCTTTTGTTTTATAATCTACTGAACTTTTGAAGAATAATTCCACTAGCTGTAGAATTCTAGGTTGGCAGTTTTTTCTAACACTTTAAGTATTTTTCTCTATTCTCTTCTTGCTTACATGGTTGCTGTCATTTCTGTTTCGTATTCCTCTACAAGCAATGTGTATTTGAAAGTTTTCAGAATCAGAATAGACTCTCTCATACTTAAAACAAAACAAAACACTTGACAAATAGACCTGGGGAAAGGCTGTGGAGTGGGGACTTCTCAGGCACTTTTGCCTGATAAGAACATCTATCACAAAGGACTCTGCAAGCCACAACCTTGCAAAGAGGCCAATGCAACCTTGATAAAAAAGACCTCTGCAACGACATGCACTCAGCAACTGCCTACTGTCTAACCTCAGAATGGTGTCACCCCTGTGTTTGATTCTTCTAGCCAGGGATAATTATCCCGAAGCAATTATGTAATCCTCCATCAGTTTTTCTTGGAAACCCTTCATCTCCCTTTACCTCCGTGAGTACACACACAGTTTACGATGGCACGTGTATTTTCATTGCAATGCCCTATTCCTGAATGAACATCGATGGCTTTTAGACAGGCTTTCTCTGTTTGCTCTTTAGGTTGACATAAATGGTGCCCCAGAGTGGAATGTGAAGGAAAATCACCTTCAGGATGAATCAGTGATTGCTGGAACCGGTGTGCAGAACTCACTTGAGCCATTTAAGGATTCCACTTCCACAGCTCATCTTCTTCTTCCCTGGTAAGTCTTCTCTCAGGCCGAGCTTCCCTTTTTTTTTGGTAAAGTCTTTTGACTTTATTTGAGAATGGTTTTGGTTATAAAACCAACTTAAATGAAAGGCCTGACATCCCTCCTAGTATGGTAACAGACCTTCTGTCT